TTTACCCCCCCCCCCCCCCCCCCCCCCCACCGAAATGTAGCACTGCTACTGGACGGGCTACTTCACTAGTCGGCCTGGGCTGAAACGGCTCGAGCGCGTGACGAGCGGCTACCTGCAGGCCGCGCGGCAGCTCCTAGCCCTGGCGGGTGCAGCAGGAAGCGGAGGAGGAGGAGATGACGCCGCAGGGACAGATCGGGAAACCCTGGCAGCTTTCGAGGTCTGTAAGAGAATCGACGGTGTATCTGCAGCGACGAGACGCTGCAACCGTAACGCATACTTGGCTGTGCTGCTGCATTGGACATCAGTATATAGGTGTGGGCAAGATGTTGCCTTCGAGTTTTGAGACATTGAAAAAACAAGTTTTCGACAGCAACACGACGCGATCGAAGCCGTGCGGTGCTGCGTGGTGGTCGGCATCTTTATCTATCGTTCGTCGACATGCTGCTCGATTACCGAGAGCGTCAGGGAGAGATACCGGTGGTTTCGTTGAATCTCCCCGCCTTTGCGAAAACACCTGCTGCCGAGCTTGCTGCTCTCCTGTATGATTAATAACTTTTGCGCCTCCGCCGCTTCGCTTCGTGTTCCCCTAACGTTTTTGGTTTCAGAGGGCGCAAGCGCTAGTTCAGCACCACGACGGCGTGTCGGGCACCAGCAAGCAGGTAGGGAACCCCCAATGGCACGGTGAAAAAACAAGCCCGATGGCACGGTGTAGACCTAGCTCTTTTCCTTGCTTCGATTCGACGTACTAGCTTAGCATCTCGCAACCAGACCCCACCCGCGCCCTCGTGATGGTTCAACACCCGCTTTTTTTATGTCTGGCGTGCTCTCGCTCTGTATGCAGCACGTGGCCGACGACTACGCCCAGCGCCTGGACCGCTCCAGGGTGCAGGTCGAGACCTTGGTGTCCTCCGCTCTTAGCCGTCTCGCATTCGGCGGCAAAGGCGGGCAGCAGCAGCAGCAGCAGGGGGGGATAGGGCTGGAGGACGGGGAGCGTGATGAGGATACGGGCCTCCCGCAGCTGAGACAGTGCAGGTTGGCCAATGTCAGCACATGCGACGTCACCATGGAGGTGTGTGTGTATGACTGCTGTACGGCCGGGATATCCGTCAAAGGAGAGATTCCGATGTTGATTTTTGCAGGCGGGCGAATAAATGTTGACCTCTGTGACCGAATCCATGAAAAGATGAACGCCGGCACATACATGATAAGTGAGTGAATGGTGTCTGCCGCAGAGAAAGCTTGTTGTGAGACTTTTAAGCACACGAGTACCCGTAACATTTCCGGAGGGTGTCGCAACAACAACATTAGAAATTTCCAGTGGCGTACAACGGTCTCACATTGATCGCCGACGATTCGTCCCCACTCGCTCATGTCTTTGCACAAGCGGAACATACCCGCGGAACATCGAAAACAATCACAACAATTCCAAACAACACCCAGCCCAGTCAACAACATCACCACTAACAATAGCAGCAGCAGCAACAACAACAACAACAACAACAACAACAAAAACGAACCCAATCAATAACAACAGCACTAACGACAACAACAACATTGACCGCAGGTGGAAGATTCGTTCGTCGTGGTGGCGTACAACCCATTGGCCCAGCGCCGCGCGGGATACGTGGACGTGCCCATATCCTGGCCGGCAGTGGCCGTCACCGATAACGCGGGTACGAAAGTCGAAGCTCAAGTCGTGCCTTTCCGACACAGCAACCTACTCCCGCCCCTCGGCGTTCACGGAGACCTGGGTGGGGAAGGGAGGGGACAGGGGCAGCGACCGGGTCAGCACCCGTACACGTTGGTGCTTCCGGTGGGGTTATTCGGCCCGTTGGAGGCTAGAGCGTTTCATGTTGCCAAGAAGACGGTCAAGGATGGTGATGACGACGACAGGCTTAGGGGCGATGCAAAGTCAGCAGCAGGAGGAGGAGAGCGGCACATTTCGGAGCCAAGCACCGAGGCAGAGGAAGGGCAGCTGCTGCACGAGCAAGCGGAGGGAGTAGCTGCGGCAGGGCTAGCATCCGACGGTACCACGCCGAAGACCGGTAACAACGCGTGGGAGCAAGAGCGCCTAGGCTTGCCCGGGAGGGCCGGAGCGCAGGACTTCAGCATAAGCAGCGATCGAGTCACCCTGACCTTCAACGGCACCACCGGCCGGCTCTCCAGAATGGAAACCCATGCGGAAGCCGGCGGCGTCGTGGAAGGGTCGGGGGTGCTGGGGGGCACCGTGCTTGACGTCGACCAGGGGTGGTTCTACTACCCTACCTTTGACGGCGGGAGCGATAACGCCGCGGGCAGTGATCCTGGAAACCCGGGAGGGGGGGAACGAGGACTGTCGGCAGCAGCAGAGGCGTCGAGGCTACACGGGGAGCTTCGGGAGAGGCTGGACGCGCCGCAAGACCAGCAGAAGGGTGGGGCGTATATATTTAGGCCCCAGGGGGCGGCGGGTCAGGCGGGCCGGGCAGTGGCGACGCCGGTGGGAGCAGGCGCGCAGGGGGGGGTGGGGGAGGAGGAGGAGGGGCGTATGGTGAAAAAATGGTGGGTGGAGGAAGGCCCTGTCGTGTCGGAGGTGCACCAGGTGAGCATGTTGTGGCTGTACCCCTTGCCTCGCGCTTTCTTGCATTAAATGAAAGAATTGATCGGGCGAGGGGGGGGGGGGGGGGGGGCGGGGCCCGCTTTCCCCCCTTTTTTGTCCCCCACCCCGGCCCCTGCCCCATGGGTTTTTTTTTTCCCCCCCCCTGGGGGGGGGTTTTTTTTTACCCCCAAAGTTTTCCCCCCCCCCCCCCCATGAAAGCCCCCCCCTCCCCCTTCCCCCAAAAAAAAAAATCTTGCCCCCTTTCCAAAATTTGCGGGGGGGAAAACCCAAAGTCCTTAACTTCCCCCAAAATCCCCAAAAATTTTAATCCGGAAAAGGTCCTTTTCCCCCCCCCCCCCCCGGGTTTTCTCCCTTGATTTTTTTCGGGAA